GAGGCTGCAGGTCCTCATATATAGGAGGAATAAACAAGGGCAAGGATGGAGGGGCAGGAATTTTCCAGCTTTGGGCCTGTTCTCAAGTACACGGTGTCTAGTTTCCTGAAACAATAAACACGTTCTTGGGATACCAATGAGAAACACCTGCAAGAGCCAACTGAAACCGAAACACTGGGAGCAACCGGCGTGGTTTGTTTCAAGAATTGCCTTCAGATGTTGGTATCACTGAACCAGGTTCACCTGGAAGTATAGACCGCAGTGAAGGAAACATCTTAAATACCCCTGAGTTAAAACATTAATCATTAGGTTGTGGCTGGAAGGGGTGTTCCCTCTCGGACGGGAGAATCAGCAACATCTACCTGAAATTCTTGAATGCCTGAAAAGTGGGAGAAGCCATGTAGCTTCTTCAGCAGCAGGTTTCTCCTGCCCCATAGCGGTATCCAGCTAGCACAGTGCCCTCCCATCCTGAAAATGCTCCATGTCGCTGCAGGCTACCTCAGTTCTGCCTAGAAGCCAGAGGAAGACATAGGCAAAGCTGCAAAATACTGAGTGCAAGGAGAGAGAAGACCCCTTTTTCACGAAAGATAATCCAGGCTGGAGTTGTCATGTGAGTTAAAAACGAAAAGGATCCTTTTATTTGTTTTAAACCACCTGTGGTCATTCATGAGAAACTTCCCAAAGCCCATGGCGACTATTATTCATTTGCCTTATATTCCCATGGGATCGTAGTCTCCCATGGATTTGAGCCTATTGGGCTCACCAAAACAGTGAAGATTTCGGCAAAAATAAATAAATATATAACTGCATATCTCTGCAAAGCAGCATGAACCCTCCCACGTTCTTGAGAGCTGGGGGTCTACGTGGTCACTCCGGGCGGGCAGGAGGCTGAGGAGCCCCAGGAGGGCAAAAGAGCAGCAGCTGCCCACAAAGAGCCACACAGGGGCCATTATGTGCCCAAAATAGCTGTTTTCTCCAACAAGAGACAGCGCAGACATACACACACACAAAGAAAAAGTCTATCCATTCCCAGTGGGGTCATGGCCAAGTAAAAGATATTTATGAGCATGGGGTTTGAAAGGAAAGACAATCCCCATTCTTCATCCATCAGTGGGAGGAGACTCCAATGGCCTTGAGAGTGTAAGAGCGAGTACAGTCCTCCTTTTCCGTCCCCACATTCAGTCATGTATCTGTCTTATCCTGGGGATGGGACTCAGGTCCCGGCTCTTTCTTTTGCAAAAAGTGAGAGGAAATATCAGCAATATCTGTAAACCAGACACCCCACCCCCCAATTCTTCCAAATGCATCTTTTTTTTTATTAATTCCATGTATTTTTATTAAAGGAAAATATCAAAAATCAAGTAGTATATGCTGTAATTTTATACTACATATATTGATGTATTTCAAGAAATCAATGTTTCTTTATTCTGCTTATTCTGCTATAATGGTAATACACAGTTACAGATCTCACATATATCTAACAGTAAAATGAATATTTCAGTGTTGCAGCCTAAATGAAATGAGATCATTCAACAATGCTGGGAAAAAAAAATCTTTTTTTTTTTTGCTTTTTCTGAAACACTTTATTGAGCTTATTATATTTTCATGAAATGTTCTGTTTTGATTGAAACCATGGTATATTGGCTGAAAAAAAAAAGAGAAAAAAAAAAGAAAAAAAGAAAAACTTTTCCGGAGAGTATGTTGGAGCTGGGCACATTTTCATGCCTTTGTTTTCTCTGTTTCTCTAAATGGCACCTAGTTGGACAAATTAATACTTTCAATTTGTCAGTAATGCCTTCGATTGCTTGCTTTGCATGCAATTCTCTGGTTAAAGGCCTGCCCTCCTTATCCCGCCTTTGGCTCTGTGCTTTCAGTTACAGCTGCTTTAAGTATTTTGCCTTGACCTGCAAGGTCTAGACTCTAAAAACATCTCTTCTATGTCTGTCAAAAGCCAGTAGATGGCAGGACCTACCCTTACACTGCCAAAGCACCATACAAGACTGGATGCTGCTGTCCCCATTCCCTGGGGCATCCAAGGGTGGCTTCCCAGGAATAACTCCGGGAGAAAAGGGGGATGCAGAGCACCCAAATATCCCCCTCAAAAAGGTGCTGAGGATAACGGTAAAATATAAGCCAGGAGAAGAAGAGCTAGTGCACCAGCATAGCAGAAGAACTTCAGGGTATGAAGCATTGGGAATATCTGGGACTGGAGTGAGAGAGGTGTGGAGAGGACCACACGCTTTGCTCCATCACAGTGACATATCCACCCGCATGGGGCTACCAGGCTTCACAAGCGGATCTCCTTGCAAATTGGGGATCTGAGAGGAGAACTACTCCTGGCAACTCCATCAAGGGCACTTTTGGAGGAACAATGATTAGTCCCTCTTAAGTAAATAGCTGTAGTTTTATCCATTATGGCTGTGAATGCAAGGAAGCCACATAACAGCCATGTTTTCCTAAAAGAGAAATATTGCCTTTTTTTTAAAAAAAAAAAGTCTCAAAATCCATTGGAAAGACTTTGCTGGAAGTCCTAAATTGTGCTTTTTTTTTTTTTTTCGTTTTCTTTTTTTGACCTAAGCTGTTGGTTTTCTAGTAAAAACCACACCAGGATATTTTATGCTTGTACAGAGCAAAGCTTCTTCCCCTCTTAACCTCTTGTCTTGTCAGGAAACTCGAATATAGGAGTTTTCTGCTGAGATTCAGCTCTTTAATTTCACAGTCTAAGTAAACACATTCAAAGCATCAAAGGATTGCCCCACACCGCAGCCCTTTAGTTCAAATGCTCTGGTTTAATAGGCTACCAGTTTTAATGCTGTGCAAATGCTGAGTTTCTGCCATTTATTTTCTTTTTTTTTTTTTTTCTTTTAATTACTACCGTTGCATATTTTCTGGCCTTTTGTTCTTGCTATTTATGACAACTGAAATTCTCACATAATTTCAGGTGTTGGGGATTTGCAGGGAGAATATCTACAGCAGGACCAGAAACGGTGAGAGGTGACAGGATGGACCACATGATACCCGGGATTAAACAGTTGGATTTCACCTCTGGCATTTGACAGGCTGTCATATCCTGGCTGCCTCTCAAGTACACACATATCTAACAAGGTCTTTGCCAGACATGGAAGAAGGAAAATTGCAAATATTTCTTCTTTCACGCAGACATTGTGCAAGTATAGGTACATGAAGGGGGAAAGAAAGACCAAAAGATAGTAGACAAAAAAAAAGATAGTAGAAAGACCAAAAGAGAATTTAAGATTTCCATATGCAATTTCTTCATCCTGTCTATAAACTCCAGGATATCTGAACAGACTTTAGATTTTGTCCCTTAGCAATGTCTTTAATATCACTTACTATCTGCACAGGGTAAGTGGCCTGTTGAACACCCTTCCTGCCAGCCTTCGCTCCCATGTATGATTGAATCCCTGGCACGAGTAAGCTCCAAAATTCTGGAGCAAACTCCAGAAATACAAAGGAAAGGGCTACTGCGGCTGGTTTTTATAATCCTACTTGTGTCTTCAGCTCACGGGATTCTGCAGTTCAGCATTCCCGGGACCATCTTGCAAAGGCATGAAGAGGCTTTAGGATGCAACTATACTGCTGCCTCCTAAATCCAACCTGCTCAAAGGGGCATTGTGGGAGTAAATGAGCACAGGACCAAGAGACATTACCTCCACGAGGATTTAAGAGCAATCTGATCCACAGCAAACCCACAAGGATTAGTGCACCCACCCCCAGTCATTGGCCTGCAGCAAATTCCCCCTGGGAAGCAGGTTGCTAATCCTCACAGGGAAAAAAACACAGGCAGAACCTCTCCAGAGCAAAGCTACGGAAGAAAAACGCCCTTACTTCCAATAACTTTTCCTCACAGTTGCCCAGATGCCGGGTGGAGGCATTCACGGAGGAATGAAGCCCAACCCAAGGAGATACTGGAGTGCCACAAGTTCCTTCCAAGCCCATCATCTAATTGCGGGCCATGTCACAACGACCCGTGACTCCTGCGGTAACAACCATTATTAACATCTGTGTAATTTTAATTAGAAGATGGAGAGGAAGAAGAAGGGGAAAAGTTATATAAAAACATGCAAATGTTTTTGTTGCCAATACCCCTCATTTCTCTACAGCTGCACAGATCTTGCACAGTGAAGGACACCTCCTTATCACTCATTTAAGAAGGGATAAAATTATAATTAAATGGTCAGTGAAGCCAGCCAGAGCTGACAGTCCAGGGCACAAGGACATGACTTCATCCCCAAGCATGACAGACCTGGGAAATCACCGAATCTGGGGGGACAGCAGGAGCAGCAGGTTTGGGGATGAAATCACCTTGTGCAGGCTGGGAGCATCCTCAGCCCATCCGGTGGTTGCAGCTTCAGCTTAAATATCTGAGCAATGACCCATTCACCTACAACTTCACTAAATTTAGTGCACAGACCTGTCACCCTGCATCGTGTAGGCATGGGAGCTATTGCGTATTATCACTCTGGTTGAGGCACCAAGTTATTGCAACACGCAGGTTACTATTCACAGGTCCTGCTCCCTGGGTTCTTGCTTGGATAGGAAGAACAGAATTGATTTTTGGCCAACAGAGCAGAACCAGACTGAAATTCTTAGCATTCTTCACTGAAACACACATGGAAAAGGCTTTCTGCAGATAAACGAAGCAAGTGGGCAAAGGGATGTTTATCTAGTCCCATGGGGAGGTGGGGAGAGGAGTTGGAATTATTGCTATGATGTTAATGGAAAGGACTGCCAAGGAGCACTCGAAAGTATCTCAAGAACCTAAGAGGCCCTCATGATGGGTCTGCAATTCAGGTTTCCATGAGCCTTTTCTAATCTCCCCAGCTTTAGCAAAGAAACACATAGCACAGCACACTTCCCAGCTCAGGTAACAACAGGAGTATGTTTATTAAGGTCTGGCACTTACAGAGCTCAGAGGGACAAGGTACACTTTTTTTTTTTTTCTCTATTTTTTTTTTCCAGAAAAGTCAGCCCAGCATTGGAAGAAAAAATGACATTATTTAAAAAAGAGACTCCAGCTGCAGAGGCCAGGAACACGTCCCCACCTTGGGTCATGCATTCCCAGTGGCCTCGTGCTGGGACATGGCAACACCAGCAACCTCTGCAGAGGCAGGAACGTCTAAACACTGGGTTTAGTGATGCTTGTGGATAACTGTTTCTTGTCGAGTCCTAATCTTGTCTTAATCAATCTTAGAAACCAGGGGTAACAGGTATAAAAGCAGAAACTCTTCCAAAACAATCCACCTTTTGCCAGGAGGTGTAAGAGTGCAGTGGGGTATGTCCACAGCAGGAGGAGAACTGTCCAGTCCAAACCTCCCAGGTCTCTGATGCTGAAAGAGCATGAAGTCTGGGAAACAATCATCTTTGAGGCCTGCTGAGAAGCACAGGGTCTCCTTGTGGACAGCGACAGAGAAGATATTGGCTAATGAGATCTGAGATGGGCACTTGGAAGACGGGGCACCACCGGCCACCGAAGCGCCGCTCTGTGCAGGACGTGCCCAGGGCGTCGGGTCTTCCTAGCCCGGCCCCATCACTCTCGAGCCCTGAGGACATAGGCGAAGCTGACCAGGATGCCCAAGGCCAGGATCGTGTAGCTGGCTTTCACGCTGCTGGAACCACTGATGTTGCACAGGAAGGAGTCGCAGCAGTAGACAGAGGCTGCTGCTATGCCGAGGTTAATCCCGGCGCTGGGGCAGATTGGAGAGCATCCTTTCGAGATGGACTGCCCAGACTTGCTGCCTGCAATGGGAGGCAAAGAGGGAAGAGAAAAAGCAGAAAGGGAATAAATTTAAAGAATTTCTTGGCATTTTGATCAGCTGCTCTGCAAAGGAAGTAGCACAGCTGAAATACCAGCCAAGCCACCATGATCTGCAGAGGGAAGAACCAAGAGGATAAAAAATGCTTCTCAACATTAGTGTCTAACACAAACTTCAGCCAGCCCACACATCTCAAAGAATGAGAAGCAACTTCCATGCAGTTCCTGGAGGTTGCATAGCATCCTAGGGACAGCCCTTCCAGGCAAGTGGCCAAAATCAGACAGCTATGGTTCAAGAGCAGAACCAACAACACCCCATCTGAGTTTGATCTTGGAGCGTTTCAAGCAAGACCAGGAAACACAGGAGCAAGAGGCTCATGAGCATATTAGCCTCAATTGAGTGGCTTGGCACACACTTAGTAGCAAGCACAGGAAATAGGAAACCATTATTCTGTGCTAAGACAAGGCTTATATAAGCGTCCAGTCTCCACTTGTGCATGCACCAGCCCGCCCACGTTGCAGAGCGTGCAATTTGGGAATTCAACAGCCCTCCCTCCCGATAGGAAGGGAGTGTTCCTCCAGCACCAGGGCTGGAAAGAAAAGAAAGAGTAAAGCAAGCCAGGCTGAGGCTTTGCATTAAGGAGACCTGGCAGAGGGGACACTTCCCTGGGACACACTGCAGACAGGCAAAGCCCGTCCCCCAGATCTTTTTGGGAGCCTTTCCCCAGTTTTGGAGAAAAAAAGGCACTTACAGAGGGAATACAGAAATCTCCCTTCTTGGCATCCCCACTGCATGGTGAGGGGAAGCAGCACAGGGAGGAGTCAGGGATAAATAATCCAAATATCGGCAAATACTGAGGAAAAGCAGGAAAGGTAACCCTGAAGCTTTCCTATCAAGGAAACCTGCAGGATCTGTCACCCTTTCACCGATTCATCAGCAGCTTCCCCTCCACCCTGAATTTCCCCTCGGACTCCTGGCTGTGGTGCAGGCACGCGGGTTTTAATGTGACTCCATTTAGCAACACTTGTAAAACACGCTAGAATAGTCTGACATTCAGTTGCTGAGCTGGAATTTCTCCTTCGAGTCACGGGAAGGAAAGCAATGCACTTCTGGTCATCGGGGAAAGCAGCTAGGATGGGCAAAAGAAGGTCCTGTCAACACTCACCGATTCCCACTCCGACATACGTTGTCACGCAGTGGTTTTCATTCTCCCCGCACTTGACAGGCTTCAGACAGGCCCAGTTGGAGGATGCATCCGAGCACGAAAAGCAGATCAGCGCATGGGCTGCAAGGGAAAGGCACAGCTCCATTAGAGGCTGGCAAGGAGAGGTCCCCGCTCGGCAGTTCCACCAATATTCAGGCTCTGTCAATCTACAATAAGACTTTTCACACCACGCTTGGCCAAATAGAGGGTTCAAGTTCATGGGTTACATTCTGCACACCTTCCACAGAGCTTGAGGCAGGACAAGGTGCTGACAAAAGCCTCAACACTATCACAGCTCAGCCTGAGGTTTGTCACCACTGCCCTTTTTGCACCAAGAGCAGAGCCGAGCAACAACTGCTGACCTGAAAGTGCCATAGATACTGATGGAAAATGTTGCAGGAAAGAACACAGGTTTTAACATTCCATGACCTGCCTTTGGTGGCAAGGCACAAAGCTCTGACTATGCTTGAGCTAACACAGCGGAAAAGACAATTGCTCAGCTAGAGCAAGGCCAGCCTTGTAGCAAGACCTGCAAGGAGAGGACAAGGCCACTGGAGAGATGGAGATGCAGAGAGAAGTCCAGATGAGCTGTTATGAGCAACCCTACGGGCTATTTACAGGTGGTTTGCTCTTGTTTTCCAAGCAGGCTTGGTAATAACTTTTGAGTCAGTGGCAAAGGAAAGAAAAGGGATGGGATAACAGAGGGCTCATTTCTTAGCAATGCATCTGATAACCTGCAGCCTCACATCCTACTACACCCACTGACAATCCTTTCACAGAAACACAGAATGGTTGAGGTTGGAAGGCACATCTAGAGATTATCTAGTCCAACTCCCCTGCTCCAGCAGGGACACCCAGAACACGGGGCACAGGGTGGCATCCAGGTGGGTTTTGAAGACCTCCAGAGAAGGAGGCTCCACAACCTCTCTGGGCAGCCTGTTCCAGGGCTCTGACACCTTCAAAGGAAAGAGGTTCTTTCTCACATGCAGATGGACTTTCCTGCCTCAAGGTCTTCAGCGGCACCTGAACTCAGGTCCTTCATCAACACAGCAAAGATTTCTCCCTGTCCAGCTACAGGAGCACGTCTGCCTTATAGCCCCCGTCACAACATCTCCCTGACCCCAAGACAACAACCCACATTTAAAACCACTTGATTCATCTACACCTTGCAATCCTGTGGGAAGTTGTAGGAGCTCATGGACTTAGGTCTCATTTATAACCACTTTTTTTTTTTTTTTAATTAAGTCGAAAGTGGTCATCCAGCATTGAAGGGGATGTCAGCAAACTGCGTTGGCTTTCTCCCAATGCACCTCTGCCTATGCTTCTAGGGAACGATATTACAAAGAAGTCCTGCAACACATAACTCCAACCTGTCTGATTTGGGTCAGGAGGCGGTTAGCGTTAGCAAAAGAGAATGCTTTTCTCCACAATGGGTGTCTTAAAATGGCCTACACTGCACCAACATGATGGACTGCATGACCTGGCTTGCATCACACTTCCTCTAGCTCTGGCCAAGGGAAGGTAAAGCCTGGAAAACTGAATTCACCCTGGGGAAACGGTCACAGAAACAGCCTGTGCCAGTGACTCAGCAGGGACACATGCACGTCACAGTAGATGGATGGTGCTTTCTGTATTTTACATATAAGCACATCATACCCATGCTGCAAGTGTTGACCTACATATGCAGGCAGCTCAGGTCTGTTTCTGATGCTTCACGGGCTCAGATTTTGAGCACTCAGACTGTCTTTCTACCAGGCAGGCTGTCTACATGATGCACATTGGAGAAGGAGCCAATTCACCATGGGATATGCTAGGGACTCAGCAGTATTAGTACTGCTCCTGCCCCTCTTGGCTCCAACACAATTTTCCAAAATTCTTGAGGGTCTTCTCCATTCTGTCTCTCTCAGAGAAATAATGTTATAGGAAATTTGGGGAAAAAAATAGCAATTGTGCCCTGAGGAATGACTTCCATGCTGTCACAGAGAAGGCAGGGGAGGAAAACAAAAGCACGACTGCATTTTTCAAGAAAAAGGAATAAAACAGGTTAGTGGGAGGTCCAGAATGTTACACCAGGGCATCCATATGACTCTGATTTAGAGGCCAATACCACAAGAATTGTGGTAGTAATTCTAACTAGCAAGAATTTCCTGGACTGGGCTCATACCACTTCAAAGTACCATCAATTTGCCAACAACCCTTGCAAAAGAAGAGCTACACGACTAAGCTAATGCAGCAGCTACAACCCACACTCAGCACCCAGGATGACAGGGCCATAACACGAGTCAAAGGCCTCAGGAAATATGAGCAGACTTGGCCTCTGGATCTAGCAGACGAAGAGGAGAACTGAGCTACAATTGAGTCAAAGACTTTCAATGTGCTTCGCTGAAATCGTAGTCTCCATAGATGGCATTTTCAACCTTGCTGGTAATGCTGCAAACTCAAGACACTGGAATCAAGCCCATCTCTCTCCTGGTTCTCATGCGTTTTTTCTCTCAAGTCTTGATGACCTGTTCCAAGCAACTCTCCTCGCAACCACTCTGAGGCCAAACTGCAACCCAGCACAGAAGAAAGAAAGTGATTCACCCCATCTCACCCAAATTGTCTACGATCAGGAATGAACTGAATTATAGGCTTCTCGTGGGCATTATGGTGGCACGTATGATCCTACATGGATTATGTCACCATGCTGAACGTACAAGCTGAGCAACGAAGTGCTATTCATTAAACCCTAGAAATTATTGGTACAAAGGCATCCGAAATATTTATATGTGCATATAAAAGGATTGTTAGCCATGAAATTCTGTGACATGTTCCTACCACTGTGTTTCTAAACTGCCCTGTTCTCTTTCTTTGTCAAAGCCTATAACCTGTAGCACCTGTAGTAGTTACTAGACCAAATCTGAATCTCTGAAGGAAAGGTCTTTCAGCATAGCTTAAGAGAGGAAATATTCAGTTATAAATGCTGCCAATTCCCATTTCAGCAAACTCAATAACAGAACAATCCAATCTACCCTCACTGCAGAGTAAAGAAAGCAAAGAGGCTGAATTAGATGCAAGACAGAAGAGGGAAGCAGAATTATTTTACACAGTTGGAGA